TGCACCAGAAATTTGTTATGCAGGATATGTGCAACAACAGAGCTCTTTAGAGAATCAAGACTGCCATGCTGCAAAAAGCTTGAAGATTTTTTTTCTTTTTTTGCATTTTGGCATGTGTGCATATAAGGTATGTTCTAAGGTGTGTTAGAAGGTGTGTTCTTCTAAGGTATAAGATAGGTTCTACCCTACCAGTATATGAGTGCCAGATATTTCCTTTTTAATAGTTCTGTTCTAATGATCAACGTTTTTCCTGAGTCTGTGTCTAGGTACTTTTTAACAAATCTTTCTCATAACTAGATTTTTCTAGTCTTAATAGCGTTTAACATGACAGGCACTGCATTTATATGTACTGCTACAGGAAGATTTGATGGTGACTCACATTCTTGTCCTTTTTTTCCATTAAAAGTGAGGCTTCTAGCCCTGTGATTTTAATAAAAATTTAAAAACTGTCTGATACCTAAATGCTGTATGTTCTGTACCTGGATTTACATTAACAGTTAACATTTTTACATGCCTAATATTCTATAAACACTGGGTCTGAAGTTTTACTTTTATTATTTCTAGCTACTATAACAATCCTAAAGATAGGAAGTCCCTTTCTAAAGATAAAAAAATAAATGAAAGGTTTAAATACTTCATATAAGGTTACAGGACTTCAGGTTTATGTGCAAATCATATATTGATTCTCAAAATAGGGAGAACTTTAGTTAGTTATTTCAGGGGAAGTAAATTTTTATGACTGATCAATATCTCTCTAAGAGGTTTACATTCAATCTTGCAGTTAATTTTGTCAAACAGATCTTTAAATTTTCCTTCAGTACTTTATGAAAATGAAAAGTTTGAGATTAATGTTAATGTTTAATTGCAATAGCAGGTGGAACTTCTTTGAAAAAATATAATTTTGAAGGCATAAAGTCATTGGCTAATGAGCTTTGTCCATGAATAAGGCTAGAAACTCACATTTCCAAAAAAATTTTAAATAAGAACAGAAGACACTGAACAGTGTGAAACTTTGTAGTGGCCTAATGTTAAATACACTGACATTTATAAAGAATATTTATTTTTCAACTCATATTGTAATAAAAGAATGGCATGCATTATAAAAATGTGTTTATATATGCAATATACATATTATATATAAAATATAGAATCAGCTTAATTCTTATCAAATGTACCTGCCTCTTTTATCAGGATATCACTTATATTTCTTTTAATTTTCATCAAATACGTGTGTAGGTGCTATGATATTTGTAAGACAAATTCAAGAGGAAACAATCTATAAGTGATTCAATATATTCAACTTTTAAGACTTGCCTTAGTTAACTTAAAATGAAAAATGTGAATTGCCTTAGGGCAAACACATAAATACAATTAATCAATAAGCATCTTATTAAAAGCTTATTGTGTTTTCAGACATGTGAGCAAAACTGAATGAGATGCAGAAGAAATATTGCATTAGGGTATTTCTGGCTGCTATAGATAAACACTAAATCTAGTAGCTTTACACAATATAATTTTATTTCTTTCCCACATAATGCTATAAAGGGGTGCTTTTCATTGACAGTTTGTTCTTTTAGTTTAGCAACTCAGGCCTCTACCAAACATTTGCTCTTCAGTCTTATTGTGTGGCTTCCAAGGCCACCTTGTTCCTCTGCATCAAGCTGGAAGGGAAAAGGACCTTGAGAATCTTCTGTGGAAGAATCTTTTTTGGCGCATCCTTCTGCCTTCTCTTTTATATTCCACTGGGTAGAACTCAGCCATGAGAACACCAAGTAGATTAGCCTAGAACAGGGGAAGGGTGATCACTTAAAGCCCTCGGTAGTATTCCCTGACAGTATGACGTGTTCCTTCCTTCCTTCTCTACTAGATTGTGCCTATGATGAGAAATGGAAGACCCTTAATCTTAGAGCAAGACGATTGGAATGTGTTCACTTATTTTGCTACTTTATATAAGCATAGGCAGGTAATTTAAACTTTACATGCATCATTTCCTTATCTGTAAAATGACAAACACATTTCTAAATAATAATACATCCAAATCTAATACAGTCAGTGATTTTATATCTACTTTAAAGGCTTCTGTATGCTCCTTCAAACTTTATCTTCTTTTTGGGCACAGGGCTAGACTACATTTACCAACCTCCCTTGTAGTTAGGGAGACTGCATTTATCTTCAAATATAGTCACACTGGGTGTTAGAGCTTTAACATATGCCTTTTTGGGAGGGGGGAACCATACAATCCATAGCAGTTATTAACATTTAAAAATAAGACATTTTTACATGAGAGTACAGATTTCTGACTTCTGTAGAAAACTACAGGATCTGAACACATTGAACTTCTATTAATACATGATAAAAATGGTCTTAAGGGCAAGGTCACAGGTCCCTCCATGTGGACATGGTCTTTTCAGCTTACCACAGTTCCCACTTTATGATACTTGCTTGGATACGATAAGCATTTAATTTTGTAATCCCTGTATATAGAGAATCCTGAGAGTGCTCTAGAGTTCTGCTGTGTAAACCTATATATTTTGAATGTATTTCCCTTTCATCTGCTTGAAGAAGTTGGAGTTATTTTCTTACAGATGAGTTCATTGCAGGTAAGCTTCAGTGAAGTGGCAACTTCTTTGTCCATGGGTGGTATTTACTCATAGCCTGGTAAATCACGAAAAACATCTTCAGGACAGAATTGAAGGGTCAGATAGGCATTTAGGTCCATGATCTACTCTCCAACTCTACCATAATTCTAAACATTTCTTTGTCTCTGGCATGCTAATTATTTTATGTTTCCCCTCAACTACTTCTATATTCCATATTTAGATACATTTATTTACAGATTTCACATGGTTTTAGACAATAATACTTTTCTGCTGAACACACAGACATATATTGTTGTTTCAACAAGAGATTCAGAAGTAGGAATATGTTCTACATTACATTTTTGGAACATAGAATATACATTATAGCATTACAGGTCATTTAGCGGCTCAATCTGAAAATCATGTCATCTCCAGCTCTAGCATTTGACTCTTCCATTTCAACCTTCCACGTATTTCACTTTTTGGACATACTGCTTTTGGAGACCCAGATCCTAGACACTGAATCCATGTACATTACCAACCACATCTTGGAAATTCTCAAGAATTAGGTGAAGGAGGCAGCTAACTAAGGTTATATACATAAAGTATGTAAGTATAACTAAGGTTATACACATACAAAATGACTTGGGTAAAAGTCTTAGTATTTGGGAATAAATTTTTTAGCCACTCCAAAGATGATCTAACCATATCACAGATTGGAATAGGATTCCAAGTTTTGTAGTATAGGCTGCATATGTCTACACTTTTGTACTCTTTGAACCTCAGCATCTTTTCGGGAACAAAATGGATAGGAGTATCTAGTTAATACAGTCAAATGAGATACATATACATTACTTAGAAGAGTGCCTGGCACATAGCAAGAACTAATATGTTTTATTAATTGAGGGGTAGAATATCCCAGCAGTTAAAATAATGGGTTTTGGAGTCAGTTTAGTTTTCATTTGTACCCTGTATCCTCCACTTCTTAGTTATATGAATTAGGCAAACTATTAAAGTTGCAGTTTCTTTTTGCGCAGAAGGGTCAATAAAGTAACTCAAATAAAACATATTGTCAGGTTATATAAATGTGCAATAATACAAAACAATATAAAAGATCTTAGTACAATGATTCAAATATAACAAGTATCCAGTGAAAAACAGGTAGATGTGTGAAATACATGGTTGTAGAATGTGAGTTCCAAACAAAAAAAATTTTTTTTCTGGGAAGCCTCCAATAAATCAGTGGTCAGATTTTAAAAAGATTTGATGCTTGGTGAATGTATCTCTACACTGTGAGAAAATGAATAAAAATGCCTAATATAGAAAATCACATCATATTGTGTTATTTGAATCAATTAAGTTACATTAAATAAGATTTTTAAATATGTAGAATTTGTCTTGTGTAAAGCATCAATATGGTGTTTTAGGAACATTATCCAAGAGAAGAAAAAGCTGTTATAAATATTTTAGAATGTGTTGTTATTATTTACAATAAAAATGAAAAAGACTTTTTAAAAAAGCCTTCTCTTGAGGATTTTTGTGTTCATTGTCATGTGGCAACTATTGGCTAAGATGTTTGTCAGTGTTAAATTTGAAGTACGATAATTTTTTATACTTATTGAAATAAGCCCTCAAGATGAATGTTTAGCATTTTTTAAAAAATTGACAAACTTTTCATGGTGTTGTCAATGTAAAATTGAATGTGGTGGATTTTCCAGAAACAAATATCATTACCTAACATTTAATGACAATTTGCTATTCTCTGGATCTTGCTTATTGGCATTTTTGCTATTTGCCATAGATCAAGCTGTAGCTGCATATGAGAGTCATCCTGAGGAATATATTTAAAAAAGAGAAACCCACCCAGGGCTCTACTGTTGGAGTTTATGATTATCAATAAATGGATCAGAAATTTTTACTTACAAAAAGCATCTTAGGTAATTTCAGTGATCTGAATTTGGAAAATGCTGATCTTTTGTTGTAACACATCTTTACTTTAGACCTAAAAAATACTGCATGAGATTTTAATACAAGATGGCAAAGATTCAGATAAATATTCTCTCTCGTAATGTAGATGTAAACTATTTTAAATAATTTTAGGGGGATTTTAATTCTGTAGTACATTATATAAAACTTTAATCAATTATAGAAATATGAGTTTTAAAAAGACAACTTCAAAAATTAAATTTGTGACATTGATATTATCATATATTATCATACATTTTGTATTTCTTAAAATGTTTCTCACTGAGATTTGGATATTTTTAAAGCACAAAATATTGATATTTTATATTTTTGTTAGTTACTTCTTAGACTAAATATTCAGTATAGAATTGATACGTATATATTGAGTTAAAAATCTTTCTCTTGGAAGCTGTTATCCTATGACACTTACAATTTAATTTCTGTCTTCTTTTTAAGCCGGAGTATAAGCAATACCTTATCACCTCACAATACATTTATGAAGCAATATCCTAAAGTATTCCTGCACCGAAAAACCAGACTTCCTAAACTTTTCAAACAGAAGGAACAAAGGTAATGATACCTTCTTTTGAAAGCAAGGTTGATGAGTGTGTATGAGTGTGCTTGTGCTCACATAAGTGGAACTCAATACTGAAAATATTTGACCAGTTTCCAGCCCTCTACACTAGGGAGCAGCCAAGGAAACAGAAATTAGTTTGTAAGGGTAAACTCAGTTTTTGTTCAGCAAAAATATGTGTTCACTGCTAAGGATCATATTTATTTAAACTTTTTGTCAAAGAATTGTTACCTTTTACTAATGAATAGCAGTTTTTATGAAAGGGATTAAAATATTCTACAAAGTTTCATGAGAAACTTCCCAATGGAAAGGATTAGAGTGTTTGTGGGTGGAGGATATTTGGAGGTGTGTCGTGTATCAAGGTATAAATGACAAACTCGTGGGGCACTAAAAGGCATTTGTGAAGCCTTTTTTACTTGGCTCCTGCTTCTAGGTGGACCTGTATTGAGATGTGCTTTATGTATTTTTAAAGTCAAAGAATGAGATTACTTAAGGGTGTTGCAGAAGGTGTAACTGTCCTCTCAGTAAAGGATGAAGATGGATTTCCAGATCACATTGTGATGCAGCTCCTCTCAAATTGTCCCTGGGACCAGTGGAACTGTAAGGTTCTTATATCAGTGCAGTACCTAGAAAGGCATTCTCACTTCTCTTTGTTGTTCCTTAAGTATCTTACAGTGGATATGGAAACCTCCTACCCCATACTATTCAAGTAGAGTTGACCTCTTCACATCCTTGGCTACCCCACTGCCGTACTCCCTAATAACTTGTATTGCCATATCTGTAAGACTGTATTTTGCTTGTGTGTTTACTAGTCAGTATTTTTATTTCTGATATTTAACAGAGGGACTGACCCATAATTGTGAGTAGTAGATGTGTGTTGCCCCATGGGCAAACTGCTTACTGGCTGTGTAAGGGAGTTGATCAAGAATATGTTTTCATTTATTTATATCAACAATACAAATGTAAAAATTCAAACAAAATTATTGTAACAAATATGTTTCCAGGGGTTGGAAGATATCAGCATGAGAGACATAGATCTATTTCATTATCCCATACCTTTCTTTTCTTTATAGCCGTAGGGCAGTATTATGTGAAACATATCATATTAGTTGACTGGGAAAAATCTCTGGGAGATGGAGTTGCTCTGCCTTTTCAAGAACAATTCTGTTAAATTAATAAAATCTTATAAAAACAGAAATTCAAATATAACTTTTTCCAACACTGTATCTGTCATGTAGATCAAACTACATCCCTAGATAGTAAGGCTTCCTGGAATGATCATACAATGCTTATACTGTGATTTATCAAATTAACATCACTCTAGAAATATCTAATAAAAATATTTTGTACTTTTTGATTCCAAGTATACTCAATTTCTATTCTAATCTTGTTGATTAGAAAGAGACCTGTAAATGTAGCTCTGTCTATAGAATAAGGGACCAAGAGCCTTTATAGATAGCTGATATGTTCATCTTGCCCCCATATTTATTCATTAATCTACCAGCAGTGGTCTGCTTCTTTAGTTAAAACATTAAACTTTGAGAGGACTATAGGGAGGCACCCAGTGGCTGTCAACATACTTGGAAATGAAATACCATCTTTATATTTTTAAGAAAAGAGACAGACCCCAAATGTGTTTTAACAGTAAAACTGTGGTTTAAATGTGAAAATAAAGAGTGGACTGCCAAATACACAAGAACTAGGAAGATACAGTATACTAATTAAGATTTGTTTAAGTGTCTGAAAAGCCAATAAAATTAGCTTAAGAATCAAGGGGAATTTTAAGAATCACGCTTTAGAAATGTTTTGCTGTAGAGCTAACTTCACCATTAAATGATGACATTGGGACTCAGTTTTCTCTGTATCTCTGCCTCCTCTTTGCTGGGTTGGTTTCATCTTCACATATCATGTAATAGGTCTGGGAAGATCACATTGATTTATTTTATTATTCAGGTGAGAACAGAGGTGTTCTGAAACAGGCCCAGCAGGAGATTCATTGAAACCTCTAATTAAATTATATCATATCCCTGGATTGTCACTGTGCTGAATTTGCCAATCTTGAATTGCATGTCCACCTGAAGAGTGGGGAATATTGTTGACACTATATGAAGCACATGGGATAAGATTAGAAGAGAGAAAGTGGAGGCTCAGAAGAAAATTAGGGGCTGGGCATGGTGGCTCACACTTGTAATCCCAGCACTTTGGTAGGCCAAGGCAGGCAGATCACCTGAGGTTGGGAGTTCGAGACCATCCTGGCCAACATGGTCAAACCCTGCCTCTACTAAAATACAAAAAATTAGCCAGGCATAGTGGTGCATACCTGTAATCCCAGTTACTTGGGAGGCTGAAGCAGGGGAATCGCTTGAACCTGGGAGGAGGAGGTTGCAGTGAGCCAAGATCGTACCACCGCACTCCAGCCTGGAGACAGAGCATGACTCTATTAAAAAAACAAACAAAAAACCCCAAAAAACAAAACAAAATGAAACAAAACCACAACTTAAATTGAATTAAATAGAATCTCCTAAAATATATTAAGAAAATTGTGAATTTTCTTCTTAGCTTAGTATACATGGGTCCCTCATTCAATGTGATATATCTATAGATACCCTGATGATGGAAACTGAGCTTAGGTAAATCCAAGAATCTTTTAAAGGAGTAAAACTGATGAGGAAACTTGCAAGTTAGCAGACACTAAATACCTACACTGTTAACATTTACACTATTACAATTATTCATCAACAATATTTACCTATTATCATTGTCATATTTAACACTATAATTCATTTAACACAAATATTATGTGATAGCTACAATAGCAAATAAGGTACCTGCCTGGCTGTGGGTAGCTGGTGATGCCAGGTCATTTAGTAAATATTGAAGGAAGATAGCTGTCTTCAAGGAGATTAGGAGAAATGCTACATAGAAACGTTAAGTCCGTATGGAGCAAGGCACACAAATGAAAATAAGCAGAAGACCTGGCTGAGACATTGAGAAACAATTCTATTTGAACAAAACTTGAAGAATAGGATAAGAAGAGGAAGTACTGCTATTTTATTCATGGATTGATAAGAAGGTAAATTTTTGGCATATTCACATATGTAGGAAATCAAATAGAGAGGAAGCTGTGTTGTTTTAAAAAGAACACTCAGTTTTGACCCAAAAGACTTGGTTTTGTGTGTTTGTTTCGCTCAATAGCAGAAACATGACTTTTAAGAAAGAAGTCTGTTAACTCACACTCAGTTTTCACTCAGAAAAGGAGGACAGACAATATTGATCCCCTACTTCAGAGTTATGCATTGAAAACACTTTTAAATTGTACTCGTTTTCATTATTATCATGCACTATTGATGGCAGTGATGTTTTATGTACATTATACCATCTGTCAAGAAATCGACCATTTTTCAAATAGATTAAACAACAGCAACAAAAAGATGGAAACTTCACCTTATATAAAGTACCAGTATGTTTAAAGGGGGCTGTGAAATGAAATGATTTCCAAATTCCAATGGCTAGATGAAATGAACAATGTTGTGATTATCATCCTAAGAATTCTATTTTTTTTTTTTTTTTGAGAGGGAGTCTTGCGCTGTTGCCCAGGCAGGAGTGCAGTGGCCGGATCTCGGCTCACTGCAACCTCTGCCTCCTAGGTTCAAGTAATTCTCCAGCCTCAGCCTCCCAGGACTACAGGCTCCCACCACCAGCTCCCACCACCATGCCCAGCTAATTTGTATTTTTAGTATGAGACGAGATTTCACCATGCTGGCCAGGACCATCTGGATCTCCTTGACCTTGTGATCCGCCCACCTTGGCCTCTCAAAGTGCTGGGATTACAGGCATGAGCCACCGCACAGGGCCAATAATTCTTTTTGATGATACTGTACAATAATTGACTTACCTGTTCCCAATAAATATAATGGTCATCTTTTTTAAACAATAACAACAACAAAATGTGATTGCCATTTTGAGCCATCTTTACTCATTACAGAAAGATGGAGCATAATCTCAGATTTACATCTATATCTTATATTTAGAATACATAATTATAAATGTACTAATTTAAAAAAAATGCTAGGGAGTCCTTTTGCTTTCAACCTATTCTATGCTTATTTTAGAACTTTCTTTTTCACAAAAATTATAACTTTACTGTTTTGATATTTTCATTTACTTTTTAATGACAGTCTTGGAAGTATTGTAAAGCTAGATGGTTTCCTGAGAACAGTGCCGTTAAAGTGAATTTGGTAAATAGTTTACATTTTTTAAATGTAATTGTAACTTTCTACACTTGAAAAATTCCTAAATAAATATTGCAGTGATTTTTACCCAGAATATGTAAACTACAGCTCAATCTGTTTGCCTTTGAACATTTACTCAAATTTATACTCTCCAAACTTTATTCTCAGTACTATGATGAGAAATATTTTTAAAATCTGAGAACCCTGGCTTAAGATAGAAAGTCATGATGTTTGTGATTTAAATACATAGAAGAGAAACATTCTGGCATCAAGAAATCTTCTGATTTTGTGTTAAATTGGACAGTATAACCACCCTTTTCTATATTGACATTCAACTCTTTCTTTTATTAATTAATCCAATTATTTACCAAGTAGCTATTATATAGCAGGCACTGTGCTAGTGTAGAGTAAGATGAATATGGTCCTTGCTCCTCTAGAGTTTATGAGTCAGATCTTCTCAAGGGAGATAGCCTTAAGCAATAATCCTGCTAATAATTATTTAAGCACAATTTATCTTCATGAATTCATCTTTCAGTTTTTAGATTAGATCATGAATTAGTCCAGCCTTTTAATTGTAATAGAAATTGGACTCAAAGGAACATTTTAAAAAGTTGCCTATTGATTCACCTAACCTACTGGAGGATGGGAAAAGCCAGCCTTAGAGAAAAGGGTTACAAGATCTGGAGTACTTGTCAAACCTCTACTTCTCATCCCTGCTCATATTTGTAGATTATCCCAATTCTCTCTTGGTGATTGTGACCTTT